AGGCGGGCCTCGCGCTCCCAGGCACCCACTGCAGGGACCGCAACAGCCCTCCTCCCACAGCGGCTCTGCTGGGACCGGCTCCAGGGTCTGGTTGGTCCGTCCCGGACAGTCCACCCAGCGCGTCCTTTCCTGTTCTTATCACGTTGCGCTGACCTCGCGGGCGGCCCACCTGGCCTGCAGCTGCCCCCTGGACCCCCGAGTCCCCCCAGGTCTCTCTGGGAAGCATCCAGATGGATGGTCCCAGGCCAGGATCCCCGCCCTGGTGGTGGACGTGCCCCAGCGGGTGGAGGGCTGACGTCCTGCCCTGAGACCCCAGCAGAGTCCAGGCCACAGGCCTCGCCGCCCAGACCCCTTTCTTCCTCGGGGACTCCTGGTGGCCCTGGGGCGGCCCCTCCATCCAGGGGTGGCAGGAGCTGACAGGCCAGGGATGGGGTCTCCGGGCCGGCGTTGGCACCGCAGGGCGCGTGCTTTTCCTTGTGCCACCCTGATGGTGCTCCCGGAAGCCCTGCAGCCCCAGCCAGCGTCGGCTCCCACCAACGGGGCTGTGAGCGCCCCACCCCCCCGCTTCCTTCCGAGGCTCCCTGGGGTGGCTGCCCTGCAGGGTCACTGGGGGTCACCAGGTGGTGTTTCCCGAGCCCCCCACCATGTGTGGGCCTGAGGGGTGCTCAGGCCAGAATGTAAAACCGGAGGGGAGGCATGACCTTGTGGGGGGAGGTGACCCTCTTAGCTAAGGCTGCAGGGAGGTTCCCCCAGAGGGTGTCGTCCTAGGGCCCCTCTGCCCTGCACCCCCAACCCGACCCCTTCCTGACAGCCACTCGGAGGGAGGCCCCGGTTACCCCCAATTTGTAGAGGAGGAAATTGGGGAGGTGTGAGAGGGGAGAGTGTGGACACCCAGGGCCAGATCCCCATGGAAGCTGGAATGCAGGGGGAGGAGGGGGTGCAGGGGGAGGTGGTACGGCCCTTGGTCACTTGCCAGGCGAGGTGTCACCAGCCCTGCTCCCCCACCCCCAGCCCCACGTCGGTGGTAAAGCCGCTGGTCCTGGGGGAATCACGGTCTTGACCTGTGACTGACCACACCCCGCGTGCCCCCACCTTGCAGCCCACACCCCACAAGCAGAGCCAGCCTGGCTTGGTCCAGTCTTCTAGGTTCAGGATGCTGTGGCCCATCCACCGGGAGAAGCAGGGCCCAGGGTGTGGCCGGGAGGCTGGCAGGAGTGCGTCCAGCTTTCAGCGGGCACCAGCCCACGAGGGCCCCAGGGGCCAGCCTCTCCATTCCCATTGTCCCCACTGGTGTGTGTGCCCGTGTGGCCGGCCTGCTGAGGGCTGTGGTCCGCGGTCGGGCCCTTAAGAGCCGCCTCCATCCTTCCCCTGCCTGGGCCTTGGCTACTGCAGAGTCCAGGCCCCGGTCTCTGCTGCTCACCCCGGAAATGCATGGGGGGCACTCGGGCCGGGAGGGGCCTCCTTGCACAGCCTCCAGCGCAGCCGCCCACTCGGCACCTGGCAGCTCCTGCCCCAGGGCTCAGGCCAGCGTTTCGGGAAGAGACACAGCGCGGCTGTCGGGCAAAGGGCTGGAGGCTGCACCTGGTTCCTGCCCAAGGGCCCCGCATGTGTGTC